TTTCTTGTTCATGCTGAGGTTGAAGCCTCGTGGCGGCTGCTACCATGGATCTGTCTCTCGCCCAATGGTGTGACCTGGGCCCTCCCTCGAGAAGAAACCTGGGTTCCCCAAGATCTGTGATCTCTGATCAGTGCTGAGCGTGGAGGCCTTGGGAGCATAGGCTACTAAGGAGACGGAACTGAACCTCATCACATCACCCTGCTTGGCCCTGGAGGATGGCTGGTTAGCCAGAGACGGGTAAGATTCCTCAAGGGAGGAACAACCTAAGACAGGCACAGTCGCAGAGGGGCCATCAGGAGAGAAAGGACCTGGGGGTTAACAGATGGGGCACAGACCCTCATCCCCCCCTCCCCCCCCTTCTGCCCAACCTTGCAGGTGTGGGCCTGAAACCATTAACCCTTCTGAGGGAGGTCTCCTGCCCCCATGGCTGCTTCGCTTCCCAGGCCCAGCTCAGATTGGGACCCAGGTAACAAGACTTGGCCCAGCTCAAATCGGGACACCGGCAATAGACAGAGACTTGGCCAACAGCAGCTGCCCTATATCTAAATGCAGCCTAGCACTAGGAATGCTCAGAGCCTTCTCAAGGATGGAGATAATCCTTTCTATTGACATTTACAGGGTAAACTAAGATTGTTGTTAGAGTATTAGATTTGACAGTAAAATAGTGTTCAAGTTTTCAGATTAATTGAAATTGGCTAATTGAAATAAGTGAATATTCAACAAAATTTAATTGTACTGGACAAAAAGCTGTTCCTAAAGTATTAACTAATGTCTATTGGCAGTTCATCTCATGGTAAAATTGCTTAACACGCAATGAACCTAAAGCAGTCTTTTTAAAGTCATCAAGTCTGCATTAATTATAAAAATTTTCCAAAAGCCTCCTAATTAAAAAAAAAAGGGGAGGGGGAGATAGTGGAGTAATATTATGTAAGGAAAAATATCCTGAAAGTAAATTACATCTGGAAATTTTTTATTTTGAAAACTAATTACAAGAAAACCATTAGAAACACACATTGTGCCAAAATAAGCCAAAGGAAAATCGTTTGGGGGGAGGCGGGGGGAGGAGAGAAAGGATCCCACGTAAAATTTATAGAAAAGATTCCTTTACTAACTTTTGGTCGAGAATGTGTTTGTATATTTTCAGAAAAGAACTCCCAAGACTATGTGGATTCCTGAGGCAGAGAGGAGTTGACAGGCAGGTCTGCTCCAACCACGAAGACAGGAGAAACACTCCAGAGATAGAAGATGCTGACTACGCCTTGCCATGCTAGCAGTCAGCAGCTGTGCGTTGCCCAGGACCAAACCAGAGAGTCGGACCTGCATTGCCACCATTTGTCCACCACCCAGATATCATTGCTGACATGTACACATGAGGAACTGTTTGACATGACACTGGAACTCAACTGTTGGACATTGAAATTGGGACTCAACCATTTTTTGTTCTTATATGTTTATTTCTGGTCTGCAAATGCAAGATTTTTTAAAGAAAAGAAACCGAATTTGGGGTGGGGGGGATGGGGAGGGTTCTGGAAATTGATCATTGTCCCACTATTAGAGAGATGTGGACAGGGAATCTAGAAGGCTGGTCAACCTTAAACATGCTCTGAAAGGTCATTGTTTAGTTGAGACATTGGTAGCAAAGCAGCCTCCACCTGTTAGTCTTGTGTAAATTTTTGCTGATTGGCTAGTATTGGAATTGCCTGCCTAAAGGATATAGGTGTATCCCATAATCTTAATAATAAAAGGGATAGCAGAGCCAGAGTGGAGTGTAGTCCTCCCCCTAGAGGTGGGCTCCTGCCTGGCCCCCAATATTCCCAAATTTATACTTGCCTAGTCTCATTTGTGTGTGCCCTCCTTCAGAACCTAAACCCTGAACCACAAAGGACATGGAAGGAAAAGGGTTCCCACATCCCCCGTTTTACAAAGTGGGAAAAGAGGCCTACATAGGTTTGTTTGCAGGAAGATACCTCCCTGTTCTGTTGCCTGGGCAAGACCAGGATTCAAATTCCTACCAGACACCAGCCACCAGTCGTGATAAAGGTGAACTTCATTCTGAAAGGAATAGGGAAGGAGAAGGTGGAGCGTTTTTAAGCATGAGCTCTGCCCTGAACGGCTTGCTTGGGAACTGGGCGGAGGGGGAGCTGAAGGCGTGTTTCAAGCCTGGGGAGGGAAGATGATGCCATTTGGGGGAATGCGCTATCATCCACCAAGAGGGACCTGGGCATGGGCACAAGGCAGATAATTTGTGTAGAGCTCTGTCAGGACAGGGGTGTGAGCAGGAGATACGGGTTTGGGAGGACGTCTCAGAGGTCCAGATAGGGACAGCGGGTAATCCAGGATCTCACCTGAGTCTCGGGCGTGTGGGAAAGTCAGGCCAGCAGGGGTGAGTCCGGGCTACTGATGGGCCCGGTGGAGAGGAGAACGGGAGAAGGCTCCGACAGAGACCCAGAGAAGGGTTAGGGCGTGAACCCAAAGGCCAAGTCCCCCGCCAAGAAAGCGAAGGCCGAGTCAACGGGCCATAACACCAGTGCAGGCACAGGCACCAGTCCCTGCGCGGCCAAGGCAGAACGCGGTCTGAAGGGAGACATCCAGGTTTTCACTTCAGGGCCCAGGTCGAGGGCAGACTTCTGCAACCAAGCTAAGCCACGGGGAAGCTAAGGATCAGAGGAAGAGCATGAATACTTACATTGTCCTTGAACTCCCTCACCTGAGGGTAGGGAAGTGATTTAAGAACAGAAATGAGCCCAAACCGGTTTGGCTCAATGGATAGAGCGTCGGCTTGGGGACTGAAGGGACCCGGGTTCGATTCCGATCAAGGGCATGTACCTGGGTTGCGGGCTTATCCCCAGTAGGGAGTGTGCAAGAGGCAACTGATCGATGACTCTCATTGATGTATCTAACTCACTATCTCTCTCACTTCCTCTCTGATTTACAAAGTCAACAAAATATGTATATATAAAAATAAATCAATAAAACATATTAAAAAAAAAAAAAACCCAGAAACGATCAAAAGTTAAAACCTACATCTACTTGGCTCCTGAGGCTGGGGAGTCCCTCAGACCACCGTGTCTCAGGAAGCCCAGTTTCTGTGTAGTCCCCGCAAGGTTTGCCTTGAGGTCGTGTGCGCTCCCAACCCGCACACCTCACCTCATTTTGAAGTCACTAGTAACTGCCAAGCGCAGACCCGAGCCAACCCCTTCACTGATGCTTCCGGCCCGCACCGCAAACCGGCTGAAGGACAGACACCCCGCCGAAGGCGGCCCGCAGGAACAACCCAAGCCCGGACGCATGGACTCTCTCACACACCAAACTCCGTGTCATGTGCTACCCCTACCCGGGGACCGCCTCACCCTCGACCCCACCCCACGGCCCGAGCGCCACAGCACCTCCGTGCGGTCGTGGGTGGCTCTGAAAAGAGCCTTTGGATGCGGTGGGTGGAACACGCAGACGAGCGAGAGAGCGAGCGAGAGGTCCTTCCTTAGGCGCGCTCCCCGCGGATGCGGCGGGCCAGCTGGATGTCCTTGGGCATGATGGTGACGCGCTTGGCGTGGATGGCGCACAGGTTGGTGTCCTCGAACAGCCCCACCAGGTAGGCCTCGCTCGCCTCCTGCAGCGCCATGACGGCCGAGCTCTGGAAGCGCAGGTCGGTCTTGAAGTCCTGCGCGATCTCGCGCACCAGGCGCTGGAACGGCAGCTTGCGGATCAGCAGCTCCGTGGACTTCTGGTAGCGCCGGATCTCGCGCAGCGCCACGGTGCCGGGCCGGTAGCGGTGCGGCTTCTTCACGCCGCCCGTGGCCGGCGCGCTCTTGCGGGCCGCCTTGGTGGCCAGCTGCTTGCGCGGGGCCTTGCCACCGGTCGACTTCCGGGCGGTCTGCTTCGTACGGGCCATGGCGATGCGAGGCGCGAGCTGCACGACGCGACGGCGGGATCGGGAGCGCGGCCCCGGGCCGCCGCAGCCGCCTTTATAGCCACAGTCCTCCCCCGATTGGGCGGCTCGGTAAAATTGAAAGTCCCGCGCTGGCTGTTCATTGGCTGTGACGTCATCCTCCCTGGCGCGCCCGATTGGCTGGGGCAGAATCTTCCCTGCCCCCACCCTGTCTACTCTCCGGCCGGCCAACAGCTTTTCCTACCCGGTTTTTCCTTTCTCTCAGGCCGAGTCCTTTTTCTCTTGTTTTTAAAATCTCAACCGTCAGCACGTCCCTCCGTAGCCCTTCACTCCCTAGGACACGCTATCCGCAATGCCCTCCTTCCTTTCCACGCCCGAACCTGGCTCCCATCTTCCGTTTGTTCCGCTCCCTTTCCCCCGCCCCCCTCCCTCTCCCCGGCGGGCCCTTCGTCAATCAGAAGGATCGCTTTTCCCGCCTTTAGGACCGGAAATTTGTCCGGCCCCGGCTCAAGACCCCGCCCCCGAAAGCCCTAACCTCCGCCGGGAAGGCGTCTTCACGATTCAGAAAAACGAAAACAAAAAACACACACACCACAAACCACACAGAAAACCTTTAGAGTCAGCTCAGTTAGGCCAAACTGCAGGATCGCCCTAGTCCCGAACACGACCCGTCCTCCCGCCGACTGGGGTGGGCTGTGTCAGCGGACGGTCCCCTCCCTACCTGACCCCAAGTGCTGGGCAGAGGTCCAGGGGGCGGCCTCTCAGAGGCGTTGTGACAAGTTTCGTTCCCTTCACCTGCCCCACCAGCCCCACCCGTGACCGTGTCCTTCACTAGGGTCTACGGCCTGACCCACCCCGCCCGGGTTAGGCGAGCCAGGCGCTCGGGGAGGGACCGTTGGAGCCCAAGGCAAGCCGAGTGGCTGGCACCGGCCTCCCTTGCACACGCGGGGGCGGGAGCGGCACTTCCTACTGCGGGCGTCGGGACGGAGGAGACAGGGTGCGACAACAATAACAGCTCTTTTACTTGAAGGAGTGGGTGGCTCTGAAAAGAGCCTTTGATTTCACAGGGGCCCCTCCGCAGCGGGGGGGCTGGGTGGGCGCCAGACGCACGGCCTCACTTGCCCTTCGCCTTGTGGTGGCTCTCCGTCTTCTTGGGGAGCAGCACGGCCTGGATGTTGGGCAGCACGCCGCCCTGGGCGATGGTGACTTTGCCCAGCAGCTTGTTGAGCTCCTCGTCGTTGCGGATGGCCAGCTGCAGGTGGCGCGGGATGATGCGCGTCTTCTTGTTGTCGCGGGCCGCGTTGCCCGCCAGCTCCAGGATCTCGGCCGTCAGGTACTCCAGCACGGCCGCCATGTACACCGGCGCGCCGGCTCCCACCCGCTCGGCGTAGTTGCCCTTGCGCAGCAGGCGGTGCACACGCCCCACAGGGAACTGCAGGCCGGCGCGGGACGAGCGCGACTTAGCCTTAGCCCGGGCCTTGCCTCCTTGTTTGCCACGACCAGACATGACGGCGGCACGTACTGCGAGCAGCTCCCGACTGACGACCGAGAAAGTCTCCCTAAACGGCTCCCCTTCACCTTTTTATAGGCAGAACGGCGATTCTTCACCGAGCGCTTTGATTGGCTAAAGCGTGGCTTTGTCCTCTTGGCCAATAGGAGATCGCAGGCAGAATACACTCATTTGCATAATCTCGCCCCCACCCCAAGACCAGCGCCACTGAAAGCCCGCCAATCACAACGCGGCGTACTCGGGACCTTAATTTGCATACAGCCTCTATAAGTACCGAGCCGCTTCCGGTAGCCCTGGTCCCGCTGCTGTCTTTTGCGTGCCCGGTCTTTTTCCTCTGCCGCTGGTGCTCCCCGCTATGCCTGAGCCGGCCAAGTCCGCTCCCGCGCCCAAGAAGGGCTCGAAGAAAGCGGTCACCAAGGCCCAGAAGAAGGATGGCAAGAAGCGCAAGCGCAGCCGCAAGGAGAGCTACTCCATCTACGTGTACAAGGTGCTCAAGCAGGTCCACCCCGACACCGGCATCTCGTCCAAGGCCATGGGCATCATGAACTCCTTCGTCAACGACATCTTCGAGCGCATCGCCGGCGAGGCGTCGCGCCTGGCGCACTACAACAAGCGCTCCACCATCACGTCCCGCGAGATCCAGACGGCCGTGCGCCTGCTGCTGCCCGGCGAGCTGGCCAAGCACGCCGTGTCCGAGGGCACCAAGGCCGTCACCAAGTACACCAGCTCCAAGTGAGGCCCGCCAGGGACGCGGCGCGCCGCGGCGCTCGCAAGAGTCGTCGGACGCATGGACCCTCCCACCCCCCCAAAGGCTCTTTTCAGAGCCACCCACCTCTCTCGCTGAAAGAGCTTGCCGCGTCTCTGGGCCCCGGGTTCGCTGCCCGCCCGAAGCCCTCTTGTTCGCCGAGGCGGCCTTCTGTCTGAACTCTTTGGGCAACAAAGGCAGGGCCAGAGGTTGAGTCCTATGTTATAGTCAACAGCGTGGTCGGTGTCCCTGGGCAAAAGTGCATCTACAGGGTGGCGCGCGTTGGGTCTCTAGTTTTTCTAGTAAAATAAATTTCCCTTTTGACTTGTTCTTAATGAGTGTTGGAGTTGGGAAGGGTTAGATCTGTAAAAGCCTCACTCTCCTGTTGGTGATGTGTTTTTGTAACCAATTGTCACTACAAATGTTTGTTTCCCCAGGAGCAGCTTCGCTTCAGTCCAGTATTCAAATTAAAATACCCTACCCAAATTTAATTTCAACGTCAGCCTTCCAAATGTAGAGTAGCCTAATGTCTAAGAAAATGTTGTGGATATCACTAAGCTAGTGTTCACATAAGTCACCGTTTCCTCGAATGAGTGTATCAGACTGGATGTACAGCGATATTCAGACTTATAGTTAATGTGTGATCACCATCAATTAGGCTAAGCTTTTTCAACATAAAAGAGTGAAACAGCCCTAGCAGGTTTGGCTCTGCATAGAGGTTGGGCTTACAGATTGAAGGGTCCTGCACTCAATTCTGGTCAAAGGCCTGTACTTCCGTTGCAGGCTGGGTCCCCCACCCTGGCCAGGGTGAGTAAGGAGGGAAACAATGGATGGATGTGTCTCATATGCATGTCTCTTGTCTCCTACCGCTACTGTCCATTCTATAAAATGGAGAACTATTCGCGGGTGAAAATTAACAACAGTAACAAAAAAGAGTGAAAAATATATGTTGTGGTTCTCATAAAAATGATGGCTCCCTTCCTGTGTATTACTATTTTTTAGTGCCCCTGTTTTGGTATTTTCAGAGAGAATGAATTGTTCCAGGGAAGAAACAAATGTGTTGGGTGGTGGTATTACAGAACTACAAAAATAGGAATTTTATATATATATAATGCTAATTGATCATCACTGTCACAAAGATGGCTGCACCCACAGCTGAAGCCTAGTCCTCATAAAGAGCCTTAAGAGCAATCAGAAGCCAATACCGGTTTGGCCCAGTGGATAGAAGTTGGCCTGTGGACTGAAAGGTCCCAGATTAGGGGCACATCCCCAGTACCGGGTGTGCAAGAGGCAGCTGATCAATGATTCTCATCGATGTAAAAAATCAATAAAATATATATATTTTTAAAAAAGAGCAATCAGCAGGGACTTGAGGTTACGCCCTCTTTGTCACCCTTGACAGGGGAACTCAGATTGCATCCCCCGCCCAGCAGGGCTTGATGGAGGACCTCAAGGCGCACTCCCCGTCCTGGTCTGGGCTGGGGACCCTCAGGCCTCGCCCCTGGCACCAGGCTAGGGGACTGAGGCTATGCCCCCTGCTCTGTGGGGCTTGACAAGGATGGAACTGACCTATTCTGGATGTAGCCCAATGTGGGGGAGGGCGGCCGGGTCTGAGACTCATGCGATTTTGAAGTGCATGTGGGTGGATGGGGACTTTACTCTGGGTCCCATGGTGTGCCCAGACTTTGACAGGAAGGTTTTCATATACATTTTACTAATTCTCTTTCATTTCTGACACTTCTATTATAAAGGACAATTGCAATTATTTCCTCTAATTAATACCCTTTTAATGTGCACGAATTTCGTGCACCCGGTGATCATTATATACATACATATACTTTGGCTCTCACTTGTTTGGGTTTTTTGCAAAACAGCAGGAAACAAAAATGCAGAAGGCAGATGAGCTAGGCCACCTGGGTTAGGATCTGAGACCGAGGAGATGAGGACCAAGCTGTTAACTGTAAAAGAACATAAAAATATTCAAACCTGCGAATGATTTTATGAGTTTATTTGAGCAAACAATTGCCAGGAAGTAATATTTCAAGGATTGGGATAATGTTCCAGATAATGGTGATATCTCATCCATTTTTATACATTGCAATCAAAAGAGGGGACTTAGATAGGTCATGAAATCTATAGGTGATATGGAGGACAAAGCAAAGCAGGGAAATCCCTGAGGTTGGAATAAAATAAAGTGATACCAGATACATATTTTGGTGGATGCAGAACAGTTATCAGTCCGCAATTAACAATGACAGAATTTGTGGTATCTGACCAGGCGCCCAGGAACTTTGGGTTGTGCACCAAAGGTTCTGGAGGAAGGGAAGTCACAAGTTATCCAGACATTTCAAGGATATATTATCACAGATACAAAGAGAGGCTCAATTAAGGTAAAGGTTGACCTTGTCAGTGAAGATACCAGCCTAGCATGTGACTACTCACCATCACTGCTTTTATATTTCAGACCTTCCTCTGTGATGACTTTAGGTCCCTTTTGAGTTTGCAAGGCATCGCTTGTCAGGTTAGCATGTGGCCCCTTGTACACCCACAGCAGAAACACCACCAGCTGGCCTAAGCCCTCTCCGAGCATTTGGGGGAAGACAACCCTAGAGGGAGCACACCCCGATTGCCTGGGAAGACCGACTTGCTTTCCTCAGATGAGCAGCAGCACCATTCCTCTAGAGGGCACCTTGGCAGTCAGCGGGTTGAAACACCCGTGTTTGGAGGCCTGCTGCCACTGGGACCTGTGCTCTTGGGAGGGATCCGGATAGAACGTGGTCCTGCGCAGGCGCCTTCCACCTCCCTTCCTGTTGGACCCAACGCGCGCCACCCTGTAGATGCACTTTTGCCCAGGGACACCGACCACGCTGTTGACTATAACATAGGACTCAACCTCTGGCCCTGCCTTTGTTGCCCAAAGAGTTCAGACAGAAGGCCGCCTCGGCGAACAAGAGGGCTTCGGGCGGGCAGCGAACCCGGGGCCCAGAGACGCGGCAAGCTCTTTCAGCGAGAGAGGTGGGTGGCTCTGAAAAGAGCCTTTGGGGGGGTGGGAGGGTCCATGCGTCCGACGACTCTTGCGAGCGCCGCGGCGCGCCGCGTCCCTGGCGGGCCTCACTTGGAGCTGGTGTACTTGGTGACGGCCTTGGTGCCCTCGGACACGGCGTGCTTGGCCAGCTCGCCGGGCAGCAGCAGGCGCACGGCCGTCTGGATCTCGCGGGACGTGATGGTGGAGCGCTTGTTGTAGTGCGCCAGGCGCGACGCCTCGCCGGCGATGCGCTCGAAGATGTCGTTGACGAAGGAGTTCATGATGCCCATGGCCTTGGACGAGATGCCGGTGTCGGGGTGGACCTGCTTGAGCACCTTGTACACGTAGATGGAGTAGCTCTCCTTGCGGCTGCGCTTGCGCTTCTTGCCATCCTTCTTCTGGGCCTTGGTGACCGCTTTCTTCGAGCCCTTCTTGGGCGCGGGAGCGGACTTGGCCGGCTCAGGCATAGCGGGGAGCACCAGCGGCAGAGGAAAAAGACCGGGCACGCAAAAGACAGCAGCGGGACCAGGGCTACCGGAAGCGGCTCGGTACTTATAGAGGCTGTATGCAAATTAAGGTCCCGAGTACGCCGCGTTGTGATTGGCGGGCTTTCAGTGGCGCTGGTCTTGGGGTGGGGGCGAGATTATGCAAATGAGTGTATTCTGCCTGCGATCTCCTATTGGCCAAGAGGACAAAGCCACGCTTTAGCCAATCAAAGCGCTCGGTGAAGAATCGCCGTTCTGCCTATAAAAAGGTGAAGGGGAGCCGTTTAGGGAGACTTTCTCGGTCGTCAGTCGGGAGCTGCTCGCAGTACGTGCCGCCGTCATGTCTGGTCGTGGCAAACAAGGAGGCAAGGCCCGGGCTAAGGCTAAGTCGCGCTCGTCCCGCGCCGGCCTGCAGTTCCCTGTGGGGCGTGTGCACCGCCTGCTGCGCAAGGGCAACTACGCCGAGCGGGTGGGAGCCGGCGCGCCGGTGTACATGGCGGCCGTGCTGGAGTACCTGACGGCCGAGATCCTGGAGCTGGCGGGCAACGCGGCCCGCGACAACAAGAAGACGCGCATCATCCCGCGCCACCTGCAGCTGGCCATCCGCAACGACGAGGAGCTCAACAAGCTGCTGGGCAAAGTCACCATCGCCCAGGGCGGCGTGCTGCCCAACATCCAGGCCGTGCTGCTCCCCAAGAAGACGGAGAGCCACCACAAGGCGAAGGGCAAGTGAGGCCGTGCG